GAGCCCCTAGTAGCGTCCTTGCTCCTAGTAGCGATGCCCTTTGCTCCTAGTATCGTCCTCTGACCCTATTGTATTTTGATTCGATGTTTGAACTTTTGATTTGTGACTGTTGAAATCTTGGGGCGGACATCCTGTGGACCAAGTAAGGCTCATGTCCTCGTGAAAAAGCATCGATGAATCGATTCATCGAGCGTCTAAAGTGTCGCCACAGTCGCATCTCAGGTCGCCTCGCAGCTCTGTCGAAAATTTCCCGGTTTACACGACCAGATCGCGGTGATCGAACCCAGGGTGGGAACGAACTGCACAGGGCGTGTTGTGGGAGGAATATGCTGTGCTTGATTGACGTTTTGATGATGTTTCATGGATGGTTTTGGATGGAATTCTGCTTGCAACGACTGCAGATGGTAGCTTTCTGATTGATTTCTTCTTTCCTTCTTCACCTTCTTCCTTCTAGGTTGGAGGCCATCGCTGGCCTCTGGAGGCCATCGCTTCTAGGTTTTCTGTTTCCAATTCTGCCAGGATCAGCATCTTTACATGCCCTACTGGACCATGGTGGGTGGTCTCGGACTGGATGTCACTTGGACGACAACTCAGGCCGATCTCGGTTCGGATCGCGTTCGAAGGAGTTTGGCAAAGGAGAGTGGTCTTCAGACGCACAGCTGTAGCCTTTTGGACGCCTCCTAGTTGATTGCAGGTCAAGATGCTGCCATTCATCGTAGCAACCCTTTCAATAACGGATTGGACGCCAGCTCATTCTTGATGCGAAGGCCTCCCTCCAGTGCACCGGACATAGGCCGCACTCGGTCAGAGTGGCCGTTTCGCTTGAACTGCGGACAGTGACCCAAGGGAGCACCGTTTTTCGCTTCTCCGTTTCACCGAAGGGATCAACGGATTGGTGGAGCCCGCCGAAGGCACGTAGGAGGGCCTTGCGACTGCGCAACGGGGCCAGATGTGTTCGCCGAGGTCCAAAACTCTGCTCATCCAATGGAGAAAGTCACTGAACTGCAAAAGGAGCAAGTAGGAACAAGGACGCTAGGGGCTCCTGGCATCGCTACTAGGAGCAAGGACGCTATTTGTAGCAATTAGGTTGGAGGCCATCGCAGTCAAGGTCGAAGTTTCTTCCACAGAGATGACAAGCCGACAGTGCTGTATCAGTTGTGGTTTGTTCAAGTTATTCCACAGCGTCAATCATTCAAAAGATGCTCTGGTGCCATCTTAACGGACAATTCGATTCATCGTAGTTGCTCACCCACTCATTGCTTTCTCGTCAGGTGATGCCCACTCACGTCCAATGGATCAAGGAAAAGTGCTTATCCTTTCAGCCGGAGCAGAACAAGCTGACTTTGGCTGGTGGTCACGAGATTGACTCCTGACAAATTAGGGGTGGAAGACGTTTTTGGTAGGGTGAACACCAAGGAATACCCTCGAAATATCAATCACTTGCCAAACGAACATGTGGCAATGATGATGCGAAAGTCTGGATTCTCTCTTGAACTTGTTTGCGAGTAGGGTTGGAGGCAATGGCTAGTAGGTTACAGGCCATGGCTAGTAGTAACAAGAAGCTACTAGGGGCTCCTGGCATCGCTACTAGGAGCAAGGACGCTACTAGGGGCTCCTGGCCTGACTACTAGTAGCAAATAGCTACTATAGGAACAAGAAGCTAATAGCGATCGCCACTAATAGCACCTCCTTACGACGTCGGTGACACGATCCCGAGGAATACGACTTTCTGGTCGTCGCCGCTGGACTGCAGCAGAACTTCCACCTGGTGCCAGGCGGGAATCGACACTCTACTGGGCCTCCTTGTCATGTTCGTAGCTTCTTGTTACTAGTAGTAATGCCAGGAGCTACTAGTAGCTTCTTGCTACTAGTAGCAAGGTGCCTTCCCACTTCATTTCCAAATGTTCTTAGATGTGTTCCATGGAAGCATTCAGTTGTAACAAGATGAACAACTACTTGCGATGGCCTCCAACCTGATAGGAATGGTCTCCAACACATGAAAAGACACATGACAAATCATGAACACAATATGTAACCCATCCAAGTAGAGTCGAACGTCCACTCCACATGGAGTCAACATTCAATCCGCAGGACTCAAGGAGACGATGGGCAAGAACAAGTGCCTCGCTAGTAGTAACAGGTGCCTTACTAGTAGTAACAATGTTTGCTATTAGAAACAAGTGCCTTACTACTAGTAACAATACGAATTTAATTTGAATTCTAATTAATAGCTTCTTGTTACTACTAGTAAGGCACTTGTAATTACTAGCAGATTTTTTTTTTTCCCGCAGGACTCAAGGAGACGATGGGCAAGAACAGTGCACCTTGGGATGCGACGTCGCATTTACACACACTGTGGACATGTCGTAAAACACCTGGTTCCGCACGGCCTTGAGGATCTAACACCTATGTGTGTTTGGCAAGCCCCTCTGATGAGTCTGATCTATTTTTTTTGGATTTCGTTCGCCAATGAAGTGAAACTTCACCTTGAGGTCGCATCCATCTATTCCTTCGATTATTCTCCGGCGGTGTGGCAAAACATTTTGGGCCTCAACAAAGGCGGGGAGAAGACGAGTGAAAGATGATTGATGCTACTAGGAACAAGTGCATCGCTTCTAGTAACAAGTGCCTTACTAG